CTCTTCCCTTGCGGGGGAGGCAGGGACCACCTCTCTCATGTGCCTCAACCCTCTCTGCTTCACAGTTCTCGGAGAAACCATGAAGCTGAACCAGAGGAGTGTGGCCCATTATGCAATGAGCGACTCTCCAGCAGATCACACCGGCTTCCTGCGCACTTGGGGGGGGCCAGGGACACCACCCACCCCCAGTGGCACTGGCCGAAGATGCTGGTTTGTCCTCAAGGGCAACCTGCTATTCTCCTTTGAGAGTCGCGAGGGCCGGGCCCCGCTGAGCCTGGTGGTGCTGGAGGGCTGCACAGTGGAGCTGGCTGAGGCGCCTGTGCCCGAGGAGTTCGCCTTTGCCATTCGCTTTGATGCCCCCGGAGTGCGCCCCCATCTGCTGGCAGCAGATGGGCCAGCGGCCCAGGAAGCCTGGGTGAAGGCGCTGTCCCGGGCAAGCTTTGGCTACATGCGATTGGTGGTGCGCGAGCTGGAGAGCCAGTTGCAGGAAGCCCGCCAGAGCCTGGTCTTGCATCGCCACTCAACCTGGAAGGCCACTGCGGGCCGCTGCAAGCCCCCAGCTCCTGACCGCTGGTCTCCGGGCCTGGAGAATGGCCACTCCCTCTCCAGGGACTGCAGCCCTATGGGCTTGGTAGAAGAAGGAGGCAGCAGGCCAGCAGGCCGGGGTTGGGCTGAATGGGAATTACAGGGTCCTGCCAGCCTCCTCCTAGGCAGGGGACAGAGTCCTGTGTCCCCTGAAACTTCCTGCTTCTCTACCCTGCACAACTGGTATGGCCAGGAGATTGTGGAGCTGAGGCACAGGTGGCAGCAGAGGGCCCAGTGCAGCCAGCCAGAGTGTGAGAAACAGGACAGGCCCTGAGCCGGGGTCCTTAGAGTTCTGCCCTTGTCCTGCCGGTCAGGACCTCAGGGCCAGTGCTTTCGCAGGAGTTAAATGTTTACTCATTCCAAGGTTGCTTTCTTTCAGTTTGATGGGGCAGCTGAGGGTTCTTCTTCCTGCTTTTTAGACCTTCTCCAGGTTCCAGATCTACCTGTGTGCCTGGATGGGACTGAAGAGTCATTACTTCCAATCTCTTCATTTCCTGAGGCCATAGAGGAAAAGTTATGTGCCCAGCAACCAGAGCAAGACCCAAGACCCCTGGCTCTGCGCTGGACTGCCCCTCTCCTGGGGGATGGCAATGAAACAGAGGAAGTAGGGAATGTTACATGGCCACTGCCACCCACCCTTTGACCTATGCTCACCACTTCTAACGGGGGATCTTCTGTGCATTTACATACCAGAATTTGGCTGCAATCTGATTGGCTTGAAGGCCAACCCTGTGGGAGAAAGTGAATTTATGGTCCTAGGGACTTCTGGGACCCAGCTGTTCCTGAATCCAGTGGGAAGACTGGGCATGGGACACCCCATACTACAGTTTGGGAAGGGACCTTCAGAGGGAGAGGGCCTTCAGCCAATAAAGAACTATGGACTTTGTTCAGAAAATGTCGGAACCCCTAATCCTCACTGCCCAGTAGCTCAGTCAACAGATGGTACTGGATATTGCTCCGAGAGGCCCAGTGGCTTTCACAAGTCAGCACAAACCTGTACTCTGTCCTCAGCAATCAGCTCCCAGAGTACCAAGCGCGAAGTTAAAGAAAAGGTGGGGCCAGTGTGGCTTCCCGGTTCTGCCCTGGACATTCTAGAAGCTTAGACACGGGATTCCCGGGACCCTCTGATAAACTCCTGGCTGGGCTTCCACAAAGGTGCTCCTGCTCCTGCTAGTGAACCATCCTGGACACCTATGTTAAGTCTGTTTCTTCCCCAGGGTGTGCCTGCCAAGACCTCGCACTGCTATTCTCCAAGTGTGTTCTATTGTCCGAGAGGCAGAGTAGCACAATGGACAGAGCTAGAGGCCAGAACAGCCTGACGCCCTTCTCCCCCAACCCACTCCTTTTTTGAGAGATTTTTGCTACAGGGGCTTCTGCCAGCGAGAAATCAGCCCCAGCGAGGATACTGGGGTACGCGCGCGCGCGCGAACACGCACGCGCGCACACACACACACACACACACACACACACACACAATTACTGGAGCCTCGCCCGCCCAACCCAGGCAGAGGCTGAGCCTCCAATCTCCGGAAGCTGAGATGGCCCCCGGCCGAGACCTCTCCGCCCACCACACTTTATTTTATACAGACACTACAGGCTTCTTTCTTTCTCATTGTTCAGTGTTTTTTATACGATTAAAACGCTGAGTGTTTACTACTCATGTCTGTCCCTTCCGTTTATTTCTGGCGTCCCCAACTTGAGGACTGCTTCGCCAGGCCGGGGCGGCGCCGGGTGCGGGAACCACTCAAGGAAGGCCTCCGGTCGACCTCCGCCTCACCGCCCGCCCGTCAGAACCGGGAGGAGCGGGAACGGAGGCGTCGCGGCGTCCTCACGACGTCACCAAGTCGGGCGGGTGACAGACGCCTCCCCGCTCCGCAGTAGGAACCCCGCACTGCGCAAGTGTGAGGGCGGGATTCTCGCGGCCTTCCGCAGGCCTCGCGAGGCTCCCGCGGCGTTCTTTCCGAGGGCCGCACCGGGGTAGGGCGGTGGGGTAGGCGCCCGACTAGGGGCGGAGTTGGCAGATGGCGTCTGGAGCGGCTCGCCGGCTGGCATCGGCATCCATCCGATTCGGGGCTATCCGGAGCGGTCCAAGCTTGAGGAAAGGCGGTGATGTCTCCGCCGTACGGGCCGGCTCAGGTTGGAGCCTGGTTCCGTCGAGGTCAGTCATCGTTACCCGCAGCGGCGCCATTTTGCCTAAACCGGTGAAAGTGAGTGTCTCCCTGGAGGCGGGGCGGAGGGGCTCAGGCCAATCATTGTGGGGAATACGTCGGGCCGACACTGATTGACAGAGGCACAGGCCAATCACATGATCACCCTACCTGGAAGGGGGCTCAAGGGCACATTTTTGCGCTAATGGAAACTGATTTTGACAGGTGGGAGGAGCTGAGTTGAACTGGGTATACGGAAACGGAAGATGGGGGTGGGCAAAGGCTGAGAAGCACGGCATGTTGCACTAGCTCATTGTGAGGGACGCAGTGGCCTATTTCTCTAGGAGCCAGAAGATTCAGCTTTGTGTCTGTTCTGCCTTGTAACTTGATGAAATGCAATGAGTTGTGAAAGGCTTTGTACACAAGGGGCAGGTGGAGCGGGACTTAGGAATTGTGACCTAGCATTTAATTCATGTGATGTATTGTCGCGAGAGGTGTGAGAGAATTGTTACACTGTTTTTACTGATGAAGAATCAGGGACCAGAGCGGTGAAGCCAGTATCCGAGACTAGCAGCCAAGTGAGGCCCAGGCATCCAGGGCCACCATTGCTGGTACCACCCCCACCAGTCGTGTTTTTTCCCACCACTTAATACTGCAATATGCCCTCAGTACCGTTGGGGTTTTCTGAAGAAAACAGAAATGATCTCTTTTATTAAACAAAACTTTTCTTTCTGACTGCAGGGGTAGGTCGGATTTAAGAAACTTTTTAAAAAAATGTTTTAACATCTATTTATCTATTTTTGTTTTGATTTTGGGGCTGCCAGGTACAAGTGGATGTCCAGCAATCACCATGCCACCTGCTGATTCCAAGAAACACTTTTTAAAAAATCTGATCTGGTCTATACTAACTCAAACTGACTGCAGGGTAGTTTCACAGCAAGAAGCTGGAAGGTGCAAGGAGTAGGCTGGGAGAGCTGCCTTATTAAAAAGGCACATCTGGAAACCTTTTTTTTTTTCCTCCAGGAAAATACAGAGGAAATGATGAGACTTTACTGACATGCCCCCAATTCAACTAAATAATCTTTTAAAGACATGCCCACTTTTCAAACACATCTGTTCTAAAATTTAATCTGGGGAAATCAAATTTCTCAGGCATCAAGGAACCTGTTACTTAATGAATTATAGGGAAAATCCCTTCAGTACATATTTTTGCAATCCTTTTTCATGTAGCGTCTTCAAGTAAAACTGACCATAGTTCAGCCCTCTTAGTACTTTCTCTCCTATCTGTAGGAATTTGCAAATTATGCCAATTTGTAGATGTCTAGAAGGCCTGATCCTTTTTCTTGTATCCATTTGGATGGCCATAACAATCACTTAATCTCCTCTTCTAATTTTTCTTGCTCTGAATTTTTCCAAGGACTTTAAAAAATCAAGTTGCTTGTGATGGGTCAGGGGTCCACAATAGGGAATGCCCCTGAGACGGCCAGGCGTTCTGTGGGCTTGCCAGAGTGGGTTCTGGGGCTCACTGACTCCACTCTGACCTCTGCAGATGTCCTTTGGTCTCCTCCGCGTGTTCTCCATAGTGATTCCGTTTCTCTATGTGGGGACACTCATTAGCAAGAACTTCGCTGCTCTACTTGAGGAACACGACATTTTTGTTCCAGAGGATGACGACGATGATGACTAACAGGTAAGCCTTGCTTTCTCCCTATCTGGACCAGGAGCAAGAGGAAGAGAGTTAGCATCTGATTTGTGATGCAGTCTGGCCTGGCAGCATTTGGATACTCAGGAAGAAGCTTTATGAACTGACCTACTTAGGTGGCTCATATTTAAAAATAAATTTATTATTATTTTTTAAAATTTGCTATAGGGCACATGTGCTCACCAGAAAGTCACATATTAGAGGTGGGGGGAGGGTGAGAAAGCAAGCTGCCAGGTCCAGGACTTGAACCACGGTTGACCATGTGGGTGTCCAGCACCTTAACCACTACACCACCTGCCAGCTCAAGTAGCTCATGGTTTTATTTTTTCTTTACCTTATGTTGGATGAGAGAAGTTATTTTACCGACTTACAGATCCAACTACATCAAATTCCCAGCTAACCTTTTCAGTGCCCTCGATGTATCTTCAACCAAGCCACACATTTGCTTGAGCTTGCCTTACACACCCACCACCAACAGCTTCATTTCAACAACTCTATAATGAAATGTAGAATCTGCCAAGCTGCATCACAGCCTGGTTCAGACACAGCCTACAGACCCCTCCCCCAGCAGTCCCTGTCCTCTTCCATTAGGCTTTGTTGTGTTGACTTCCTGTATTCTATTAAGTTGTCAGGAAGGTCATACATATTTTTCTATTTAAAAATGCGTTGCAAGTTTCCTGACAACCCAGTATTACATGCTGCACGGCAGTACTACTGTCATAGATAAGGACATACCTGGAATTTAGCCACCCTTCATTTTTATTTTTTACAGAATTATTATTTTTTCTTTTTGGAGAGGTTTTTTACTTTTTACGTTTTTTGGAGAGGTTTTTGCTGTAAGGTGTGTGCGCTCACCAGAAAGACAGAGACAGACAGACAGAAAGTGAGAAATCACCCCCCTCCCCCAGGAGGGATGGCCATGCCATAATCCCTTCTCCTCCATTCTCTTCTCGGGATCTTGGGCACACACGCACACATACACGCCTGGCATGAGTTTAAGTCACCGGGTCTGGGACTCGAACCTCGGTCGACTACATGGAATCCAGTGACATAGCCATTATGCCATCTGCTGGTCTCAGTGACTATTTAATTTTATGTATTATTATTTTTAATTTGACCAGAGAAAAACAGAATTTTGTTATTCATGTAATTTTATTAATCATTTATTTTATTATTTTTATTATTGTTTTTAAAACTTGATCAGAGAGATAGAAAGTAAGAAAGCAAGCTGCTAGGTTGGAGACTCAAACCATGGTCAGTCATGTGGGAATCTGGAGCCTTAACTGTACCACCTACCAACATTGCCAACCCCACTCATCACACTCTCATCTTCTGTATTCCAAGCTACATACCTGTTCCCTATTCACCATTTCTTGGATTACCCACCGCCAAGTATGGATCAAGCATCTTCCTACATGGAAGCCTCTTTCTTTCCCACTAAGGTGCTTTCTCTCTTTTTTTTTTTTAAGAATTATTTTATTTAACTTTGCTTATTTATTTTAATTTGACTAGAAAGGGATAGAGAGAGAGAGATATTGATTAATTGAGAAAGTAAGCCACTAGGTCCAGGACTTGAACTGTGGTTGGCTAGTTGTGAGTTCAGCGCCCTTAACCACCGCTCCACCTGCTGGCCCCAGTGCTTGTCTTAATCTACCTGTTCTTCAGTATCTTTGATGAAATTTCCCTTTATCCCTCCATTTGAAGTGTCTGCTTCTTCCTTTGACTGACCTCAATTACAACATTAAATATTACATGCTTACACACACCAGAATTCTATTAGATTATGAGCTGCTTGTTGACAAGGGGTATTTATTTTTTTAAAAAGATTTGAGGCTCTAGTGCCTGGCCTGTGGTGAGTGCCCAGTAAAAAGTATGTATAAATAATCAACATACTCAAAATCACCTTTCTTCTGTCATGTTAGGAAGAACCCCTCTGTGGAATTAATTCTTTTTTCTGTATGTGGGTGGAGGAATGCTCTATTGCCCAGTTCACTGCTGCTTTCTTTTCTTGCAGGACATGGAGGAAGTAAAGAAAAGAAAAAGCACTAAAGAAATGGTGATGCTCTCAGCCTCTTGTTCCCCCATCAGCAGAAAGGCTCAGGAAAAGCCCGCAGTCTCTCAAGTCCAGTGAAGCTTCTTGCATGGTCTGTGACCATAGCCCAGATCTCCAGCCTGGTGGAAGTTCCCTAGATGTGCTGTCTACTGAGCACTGGAAAAATCAAACAGTCAAATTATGAATAAACATAATAAAAATCAGCTATGTGTAACTGGAAAATGGTTGAAGCTTCTCAATATGAACAGGCTCTAGTTGTTGCAGCTTCCTGTCTCTGTTGTCCCTTCTCTACGAGAGAAGGCCTTTGATTTACAAGCCAGGATACCCACATCCCTTTGGATCCACAAAGGGAATTATGGGGGTCTGAGCCCTACTTTCATTTACAGAAGCCTGCCAGAAACTCTGTGTTCCCGTAATAAAGCTGTGCAGGCTAAATGAAGCTTCAAGATTTTTTTGTGTTGAATTATACTGACTAGTTATCACGTGCTAATCATGGTTGTTATGACTACTTAAATATTACTAGAATGAATTTTTCAAATTTGGGTTTAAGTGAAAAAATAAAAAAGGGACTCTTGTGCTAAAAAGTGTGAGAATCCTGAGGTAGCTACCTAGATATTGAGTCCTTTCCCCCAGCATTTGGACTTTCAAGGAAGGAACAGAGAAGGCCACCATTCAAAGCAAACAGAGATGGGTTAACCTGGGTAAACATTTATTTTCCTGTCACTTTGAGCTACACCAGAGTTTGCAACAACCGTTTCAAACAGATTATTTCTGTTCTGTGTGCACTGAACAGCTGCACTCCTAGCAGGGTGTCTGAGTAGGAAGTTCATTTTACTAAGGACCGTGCTTATTCAAGTAGAAGGACTGGGCCTCTGAACATCCATTTTCTTGAGAACCCAGAGAAAAATAGCCATCTTGGTTTCACTTCTGTAACTGTTAGTGCTACTCTGATCCTCTCTGACAGCAAGAGCTGCCTAATTTTAATAATCTGCCCTGACACCAACGTGTGCAATCATAGAAGCCACAGGAACACAACTAAGTTAATGAAGTCATCCAGCCTCACGCCTCGTGTGACAGTTTCTGAGCAGATGGCCTCATCCCTTCCTGTTTATTGACATGAAAGACTCTGAGAAAGAGAATCCAATCTTACAGCAAAGATCACAGCCAAAAAAAACACGAAAGAACAGGTGGTATGTATACCAAGACCCCACTTGTTCAGGCAAAAATTGAGAAAGACTATAGAAAAGTGAAAGACTGTAGAAAATGAAACTACAGAAAACTAGCCAATGGAAGTCTATCAAAGTGACCATCATATAATGAATTTATTTGTATTCTAAAATAATTAAATATCAACATGCACCTTTCCACTGAGGGACTTCACGGGTCATGACCAATGTAGAACTTGGACAGGAAATCCTTTGGCCTTGGTGCTTCTGTTTCATGGAAGAACCTCATAACGTGTGTCCGCTGCTTCCACACTTTAATCGTTTCCTCCAGTTCCATCTTTCCCTGCACAAGAAGGGAGAGGTTGTCAAGGTAGGTAAATCAAAGGAATATAACCCGAAGGCCAGGATTCAATTCTGCTCAGTATTGACTTGCTGAATGATCTTGGGCAAGAAACCATTCTGTCCAGACAACAGTTTCTGCATCTGGAATATGAGGTGGTTGGGCTAAAAGATCTCTGAGGCTTTTCAGATATTGAGTATGGTTAATTTAATTGGTCCCAAGCAGAGACTTCTAGGTTAACAGGTTGCTACTCCATGACTGCCTAACATGGCTGGCTTTGGTTTCTACTGAACATTTACTCCATGTTACATTTACTGGTCCATGCTTAGCTCCCACTGATTCTAATGTGACTGGCCACAGAGACAGAATCAGGCTCATGTTTTGACTATGATTACACAGGACTCATAGCCAACTTGCCTGCTTCTCTTCAGCTGTTAAGCTGGCTCCTAGGTAAAATAGTAATTGCCAAGGATGAAGTATAAGAAGAATTTAAACTTTCCTCCCTATGTCCTTTTTTTTTTTTTTTTAGTTAGAAAATAAAACACAAACCCTAGGGTCAGCCAGTGGTATTGTGGTTAAAGTGATTGATCCCACATAGTGGACAATACTGTTTGAGTCCAGGCCCCAGCGGCTTGAAAAACAAGCCAGGTACATATATGTGCATTCTCAAAATCCTGACTGTGGCATGGCCATCCCCTTTGCTTTCTCACCCCTCTACCTTCTCTCTGGCAAGTACATATGCCCTACAGCAAATTTTAAAAAAGAACAAGAAAAGGCATGACCCAGTAGATTCTTCCATTGCTTTCCTTTGAATTGTTTTATAATCTACTTAACCAAGTGAAACCCACACATCTAACTACTTTTTGAAACACAGAGCTATAGTTACTGAACCAGTAATTGCTCTTTAAACTCTGGGCCAAAATGTTCATCTGGGAAGACTGAGAAGCACAGGACAAGTTGGCAGATCATGGAGGATCAGTTACCTTAATGACCAGAAGATCTACCACTCTGGGGTCTGTGACATGGGCATTCTTCATAAACATTTCTCGAACTTTATCCCGTCCCTGTTTCACAGTGATGTCTAGCTGGAATAAGTGCACTAGAGAGAAAACATGATTCAGGGTGAAAATTTATGGTTAAAACATGTCCTTAAAAAAACATGTCAGAAGACAGTCATTGAACACATAAAAGTTGCCCATTCATTCTATTCACCAATTATTAGCCTGACCCTAAACTTGATCACACAAAGAAGTACAAGGCATGGTGCTTGCTAGTAAGGAGCAAGGACAAGAGGATCACTGCACTTGAAGAGACAGTATAATATAGTTTAAGAGTATGGATAGGGCCAGCAGGTAGTGTAAAGGCTAAGGCCATGTGGATCTGACATGGCTGACACTGTAGTTTGACTCCTGGACCTGACAACTTGAAAATCACCAGGTACATTTGCATCTATGTCCAAAGTCCTGAAAGGGGACTGGAGAAGAAGGGATTCCAGCGTGGCCATCCCTCAAGGGGGTGGTTACTTACTTTCCCTCTCCTTGTCTCTATAGCAAAACAAAAACTGAAGTGTGGACAACCTGGGTTTAAATCCCAGCTCTGTTGTTGATCAGCTGTATGATTATGGGTAAATTAATTTGCCTGAGTATTATTTATTAATCAGTGAAATGAAGATGAAAATATTATGTATAGTTCTAGAGCTGTTTTGAGTATACCATGAGATAATGCAAAATGTTTATTACCATGATGCCTGGCATAGAATAAGCTCTCAACAAACTTTATCATTATTTTAATGTAAAGCAATCAGCAAAAGATGATGACAACATTGAAAAGAAAACGTAAAATGATGTGGTGTGGACTCTAAGTACCACAGAACTTACAGTTGAGGAAGACTGCTAAGGATATGTGCAGGTAGGGAAGGCCTCAATCCCACAAGCAGTTAACAACATCATCAGTTACTTGGGGGGAATGAGAGAGAAGTTTAAGTTGTAGCTCCAGTTCTCTAGGTTTTAAATTCTTATTGGAGGCACAGACAAAAATACTAGATAACATTAAGTGCCCAAATATCCGGGTAATCAGTATTCCAGAAGGTGAAGAAACTAAAGGCATTGGTAATCTATTCCATGAAATCCTGGAAGAAAACCTTCCAAACCTAGAGAAGCATTCAAATATCCAGACCCAAGAAATACAAAGGACTTCAAGTAGAATCAACCCAAGACGACCTTCTCTACAGCACATCATAGCCAGACTGACCAAGACCACAGATAAAGACAGGATACTAAAATTGACAAGAGAAATGTTAAGTTACCTACAAAGGTTACCCCATCAGGCTAACTTTGGACCTCTCACCAGAAACAATGCAAGCAAGGAAGGAATGGGAAAAATATATTCGGTCTTAAATGAAAAACAATTTAAACCAAGATAACTATACCCAGCAAGATTATCCTTCAGATAGGAAGAAAAGATTAAAAAAATTCTCAGATAAACAAAACCTGAAAGAATTTACCAACACCAGACCAGCTCTTCAAGAAGTTCTGAAAAGACAAATAAGGGGATGGGAGGTGGGGAACAACCAAGAAAACAACCAACTTAATGGCAGGAACAATTTCAGAAATATCGATAACAATGAATATTAATGGATTAAATCTCAAATCAAGAGGCACACACTGGCTGAATGGTTAAAAAAAAAAAAGAAAAGAGAAATCCTGTATCTGCTGCCTAAAAGAAACACACCTCATGGATAAAAACATACAAAGACTGGTACCAGTAGATGGCATAATGGTTACACTGCTGGACTCACATGTAGTCAACCACAGTTTGATTCCTGGACCTGGCAGCTTAAAACACACTGGGTGCATGTGCATGTGTACCCAAAATCCCAAGAGGAGAGTGGAGGAGAAAGGACTGCAGCATGATCATGCCCCTTGGAGGGGGGGTGATTTCTTGCTTTCTGTTTCTGTCTCTCCAGTGAGCACATGCCCTATAGCAAAAATCTCTCTTTAAAAAAAAAAAAAAAAAAAAGACACACATAGACTAAAAGTGAAGGAATGGAAAGCGGTATTCCATGCGACCAGAAACCAAAAAATAGCTAGAGTCATGATAATGATCCTAGACAAAATAAGACTTTAAAACAAAACTGTAAGAAGAGACAAAGAAGGGCATTACTCAGTAGTAAAAGGGCTGATTCATCAAGAAGATAAAACACTTAGGCAACTCAGGCACATCCAAATATGTAAAGAAAAGACTGCTACATCTAAAAGGAGAGAGAGTCTGCAACACATTAATTGTTAGGAATAATCTCAAAAAGAGACAAGTAGAATTACATTGGATTAAGAAATTTCTGCACAGCAAAAGACACAGTTTATTAGTGTGAATTGACAATCCTCAGAATGGGAGAATATTTTTGTAAACTGTGCCTCAGATAAGGAACTGATAACCAGAATATACAGGGAACTCAAGTGGCCTAGCCAAACAGAAGAAAATGATCAGCCCAATTAAAAGATAGAAAAATGAAGTAAACAAACGACTCTCTAAGGAAGACAAACAGCCAAAAAAAAAAAGAAGAAGAAGAAAATAAAAGAAAAAATGCTTAACATCCCTCATCATAAGGGAGAATTAGATTAAAACTACAATGAGAGGGGGACCAACGGTTAGCATAATGGCTACATCGCTGGACTCCCATGTAGTCGGCCGTGGTTCGAGTCCTGGACCCAGTGGCTTATAACTCAGGCATGTGTGCCCAAGATCTCAAGAGGAGAATGGAGGAGAAGGGATTGTGGCAGGCCCATCCCCCCTGGGGGGTGATTTCTCGCTTTCTGTCTTTGTCTGGCGAGGGCATGTGCCCTATAGCAAAAACCTCTCCAAAAAAAAAAAAACAAAACAAAAAAAACACTACAATGAGATACCACCTGACCCCAGTCAGAATGGTTAAAAAAAAAAAAAAAGAGAGACTATAGGGCATGAATGCTAACTAGAGAGAAAAAAAAGGCAAGAAATCACCTCCTAAGGGGTATAGCCACACTGGAACCCCTTCTCCTCCATTCTCCTCTTGAGATCTTGGGCACACATGCCTGAGTTATAAGCCACTGGGTCCAGGATGCAAAACAAAGTCAACTACATGGGAGTCCAGCAACAACCATTATGTCATCTATTGGTCCCCCAGAATGACAAAGATTTAAAATAAAAAATGGTCGGTGCTGGCGAGACTGTGTTGAAAGGGGAACTCTCCTACACTGTTGGTGGGAATGTAGACTGATCTCCACTTTGGAGAACAATGTGGAGTTTCCACAAAGATCTACCATATGGTCTAGCAATTCTACTCCTAGGTATCTACCCAAAAGATAGCAGAATGCTCAGTTGGAAAAGTGCTTGCATATTATGTTTACTGCAACATTATTCACAATTGCTAGGACACAGAACCAACCCAAAAGTCCACAGACAAATGAGTGGATTGAGGGGGTGTGGTTCTATGGAATCCTACTCAGTCATAAAAAACAAGATCATGGCATTTGATAGAAACTAGATGAATATGGAGGGTTTACTGCTGAGTGAAGCAAGCCAGGGTATGAAAGAGAGAAACTGTATTTCTTCACTTAACATATACTGACTATTAGGAGCCAGCAGGTGGTGTGGCAGTCAAAGCACTGGATTCCCACATGGCTGACCATGGTTCGAGTCCCGAACCTGGTGGCTCCCTTTCCTTTCTCTGTCTCTCTCTGGTCAAATTTTAAAAGGTAATAATAATAATTACAAATGGAATTAAGTAAATAATTATTTAAATATATCTATATCTATATATAGATATATACCAACTGTCCACATTCTATGGCAGAAATTGAAAGACCAGAGGATACAAAAGCATGGAAAATGATTATGGATACTAAAGCTAATGTGGGAAGAGGGTGGGAGAAGGGAGAAAGTATGAGGAAAGAAATTAAGGGAAAAAATAGAGAGGTAAGATATTTATGGGACACAAAAATGGATTTTTAATCTGTTGATGATAATGGGTTAGTATTCTGACCTGGACTGGTGTGAAGTGTATTCATGTTGGGTAAATTCACTTTATAAGCTAAGTGATGTTACTGATTGAATGTATAAAAATGAACTAAAATTAAACAAAACAAAAACAACAAAAAGGGTGCTACAAAAACAATTCTGCGCTCATGGGATCCATTCATCCCTGGAAATTCCAGTTTTCATTTGTTTCCCTACTTCATGTCAATCTTCCTTAAGCAGCTGATAACCATGCTGACTTTTCATGACAGTTACAAAGAAAGAATAAGTTCTTACAACAATCCCTAGAATAGATTATTAGTATTTATGTATGTGGTCCTATATCTCTGATCAAACCTTGACTGCTACTTACTTCTCTAAAAATTAATTTTGTTTCTACCAGTCCAAGGAAACATTTTTTTTTTTTGGAGAGATTTTCACTGTAGGGCGCGTGCGCTCGCCAGACAGACAGAGAGAGACATAGAGACAGAAAGCGAGAAATCACCCCCCAGGGGGGATGTTCACGCCCCAATCCCTTCTCCTCCATTCTCCTCTCGGGATCTTGGGCACGCACGCACACGCGCCCGGCGTGAGTTTTAAGCCACCGGGTCCGGGACACGAACCACGGTCGACTAAGTGGGAGTCCAGCGACATAGCCATTACGCTAACTGCTGGTTCCCCAAGGAAACATTTTTGAGTATTATTCATCTCATGCTACCTCCTTCCAGAATTCAGCATATTTATTTCCCTTGTTTTCAGCTACATTCTTAGGATTTTTCTGGTACCATCCTAGCTTTATCACTCTGTTTCAGACTGCTAGAGTGTTCCAAGTCCAAGCTTTCTTTGTTATCTATATTATTTGTAGGTTGATTCACTTCTTTTTACTGGTAACTCCATATTACAACTTTTTTCAGATCCCTTGAACTCCACACTTGTATGACCAATCGGCCTCCTTGGTATTTGTACTTTTGTGATGAGTTGCATTTTCAAATCGAATGTGTGAAAAGTGAAACCACTATCCTTTCACCTCCCAAAACTATTTAGGCCAAGTCATGCCTATCTAAGCAAATAGTGAATACCTCCCAGTTACTTAAATCACCAACTTGGGAA